CAAACTGTACATTTCCTGTGAAAACAGAAGTGTATTTTGAAAACAGACAATGCATGTAACAGGCTGAAGTTGACACGGCGTCCCAGAACGTCAACAACCAACACACCCAGGGTACCTTGGACGTCATATGTGGACGTGGAAAGTCCATGACCAAACGTGGACATGTGACGAGGTTGGAGTGAGAACATGTTGCCCATCCATGCCCAATTGTCGGATTCATCTTTATGCAGACGATACAGTTTTATATCCTGATAATCAGACTTCGTTTCCCTTCAGTCCTTGATGTGACCTGGTGTTCATATCAGCTATTTTCTGTTCAGCAGGGGGGGTCATTATGCTCCATCCCATCAACACACTGAAAAAATGCAATAATTTAACAGTTGTTAATTCTGTGAGGTGACTTAGAACGGCCTGTGCAGGTGCAAGCACTTGAAGTGAGCACTTCTGTTTTGCAGTTTTTGTAGAGGTAGCTGGATAAAAAGATGACGTCCTGTCTACAAAGATCCGTTCGGCTCAGTTGTTTTTCCAACCAGGTAAACATCCGTCACTGAGCACCACACCTTTGGTGAACTGCTAATCAATTTGGAGATTAGTTCAGTAATTCAGATTTCTTGACACAGGTTAGTCTCCATGAAACAAAGACTTAATTCCCAGTGCTAAACTGGGAACAGTCCTGGATTTTACAGGTTTAGATGTTTTCTTCAACACGTGATGGATCTGTCAGTCAGTATTAACCTTTATTTCTGAATCAGAATGTGTGTAATTAAGTATGATGATAATAAACAGCAGGTCGTTGGATAATTTTCACTCGTTTTGGTCTTAGGTTGAAATGGATTATGGGAAACTGAGGACCAACAAATTCACTGTTTGGTTGGACGCCACATGATGTTTTTGGTCTCGAGATGTGGACTTTAACTGAAGTGGAGCCTGAAATGAACTCAGCGGACTCTGTGAGGTCGGTGTGGACGAGCTGCAGGGTGAGTTCCTGGTCTTTATTTTTTTTTTAGCATACATAGCATGAAGGTCAATCTAAGTGTGGAGCCATGACCTGCTGTAAAGGGCTGAAAGAAATACATTTGACAGTATTTATTGGTGTGGAGTTGTTTCAGACAACCATCACTAAGCGTACACATCAGTGAAAACGCACACACAAGAAAAGGAGAATAAAAAATAATAAAACCGGTGAACAAACACACGTTACACAGCGGAGAGAAAAACAATCAGGATTTCTTGCATCAGTGTGAGAGCAGCAGTTTTTGTCACAGTGAGTGTCACAGTGTGAATAATCAAGGAAACAAACTTTATTTCGGCAGTGGAACCAAACTGACCGTTGAATCTGGTAAGACAAATATTTTTCATGATTTCATACTTTAAAATGCATCATTAGAACTCCTTCATTTCTCATTTCTGTTGAGTTTATGTCATGTTTGTGGAGTTTGATTGATGCAAACTGATGTGCAGGCTGCTGACTGTTCGCCAGTGAAGTGAAATATCAGGAAAAGTCCTGAAGAGAAACACTGACTATAAAAGTTAAACAGAGTCAAATTGTTTAATTCTGTAAAAAGCAACCGCAGCAAACAGAGAACAGTGAAACTCTGAAACTTCAGCTGCACAAATAAACTGATCAGTGATAAGATGGATGATCAATCACAACATATAAGTGGATAAATGTATGGATTAAAGAGTCAGCCTGTTAACACGTAGATATTAAATGAAAAGTAATACAAGAATAAGAGGATAAAAGTCCAAACTGAGACAACAGGACAGTAAGAATAAATGTGAAGAGCAGAGATTAAAGGCAGCAGCAGTTTTTGTCACAGTGAGTGTCACAGTGTGAAAAATGAGGGAAACAAACTCTATTTCGGCGGTGGAACCAAACTGACTGTTGGATCTGGTAATATTAATATTTTTCATGATTTCACACTTTAAGATGCATCAATAGAATTCATTTCTCATTTCAGTTCAGTTTATCACATTTTCCTAAAAGCAAAACAAAACACAAACTCTGAAACATTTCTGAAACATCAGCTGCACAAATAAACAGTGAAATATTACAATAAACATTTGAATCAGAATAAAGATCGATGAACAAACAAAATGTATAACTTAAAGAGGAACCGTCATATGCAGCAGT